CATCTTTGGTTCGTAACTTTACCAAGAGAATAATTCAAATGCTTTACCTAAATTGATATTATACGATGCGTCGTTTAATTTATTCTGGGCTACAAGTCACAGCCTGGGTAGCACCAGAGTTTCACTGACCTCTTTATTTGGCCATAAAAACTTAACACACACCTGTACTACCAGTCTAGGTATAGTAGGGTACCACATGCAAATACTACCAAACAATACAAAAACATTACCACATGGATTTTCATCAAACCTCATTTGATGGGCGTGTGGTAGTATTTGAGGGGCGTGCGGTAGTATTTGAGGGGCGTGCGGTAGTATTTGATGGATAGGTGGTAATGTCTGATGGGCGTTTGGTAATGTCTGATGGGCGTTTGGTAATGTCTAATGGGCGTTTGGTAATGTCTGATGGGCGTTTGGTAATGTCTGATGGGCGTTTGGTAATGTCTGACGGGAGTGTGGTAATGTCTAACGGGCGTGTGGTAATGTCCGTCGGGCGTGTATAGGTGTCATGGATATGTAACCTACGTGGAAAATCGTTCCCCATTCGTTTTGTTGTATTGCATCCCGATCGAAGACGGTCCTTACAACTTAACACTGCGCAGAACTGTTTAGACTCGGCAGCATGCGACGTCCCCAAAGTCACAAGTCAGGCAACCATGACAGAGTCCATCTTAAAACGAATCCTGTTTACACAACATCTACATGCAACTGCAGACGAGTGCTGTCATCGGTATGTACCCAGCTTAAGGTTAGCGAGGTTTACACTTCAAAATACCGAGTACAATAGGTCCACTACGCAAACCAAGACTCTGACCTAATCACATTAACACGTCACATCAATACTGAAAACACATAACAATTAAAGGTTCCTTTTGTATTATAACTATATAGGATATGGCAGGCTTCAGAAGCACCACAGCCAATAAACCTACTACTCGTGGGTTACGATAGCTGTCCCTAGGGTCACCAAACACAGCTAATACATAACAGCTGTTACAAAAGCATCAATTCCGATAGGCCCAACAGCATGAATCACGGGGCACATTATCAGCCTGATTCCCGCGCATGACGCATCAATACCAGGGAAGACGTGGCAGTACCCAATCCTGCCTCACGAATACCAACTCAAGTTCCGTGAAAAAGAGAATCGATACTTACAACACTCTTGGCTGTGTGGCGCAACAACCACCACCCCACCAGTTCACCGACCCACAACCTTCCATGAAGACTGTCCTTCCTCGGACTAGCGCACGCCCACCCTACTGGGGGAGGGGAGGGGAGGGGAGGGGGGGGGGTTCCAGTAGCTGTAAGACGACCTTGCTCGGTTAATTACTATTGCCCTACTGTGTTACCAAGGGCAACTTCCTAGGATTTTGATGAATGTTGAGTTTTTAATACATATATTCTACCATACCACATAGTATAATCCACATGGATGTTAAATATCAAATTTAATGTTACACTAATATAAAACTACAAACCGTATACAGTTAACAGCCAGCCATGGAGGCTCCTCCCAATATCCCATGACCTTACCAGTTACTCTTAGCGGAAGGAACTACTCACAGTAAAACATTTTATATCTAACTATACCGAAATGTGTTATAATAAATATCAAAGTAAAAAAAAAAAGTACACAACTCAGCCTCAAGAGAACCAGCTGGAACCATCCCCCCAAAAATAATACAGCATGGAAAACACAACATACAGGGTGCTATTATTCCATCAGAATACCTAATATGTCGACCTGTACTGAATACACTTGGTCTACCGGACGGGAATAGCAACAGCTTTTATTGGTGGTAGAGCCAAAGCCAGGGTGCGGGGTACACCCTCCCCCACCGTACTACACTCATGGTTTCAGCTTGTGTACCAGCAATAACCTAATACTGTACCTCTATATACTGTTACAATCGACTTATGAGTAATTAAGACAGTCTCCCTTGCACAAAAAAATAATTTATTAATTAAAATTAGCCTAATCTTGTAGCGCTCATATCCACGTCAGAAGAACTGCGTCACACCATAGGTTATATAGAGGGCACCTGCTGGCTCCACCGCCTCACTATTCACCCAGCATGTCTTCAACATCTACACTGCAATTTACAAATAAAAAGCATACATGTCCTACTCAAACACATATATATATATATATATATATATATATATATATATATATATATATATATATATATATATATATATATATATATATATATATATATATATATATATACACATACACACGCTAAGCTTTATACAATTAAAATACCCGCAGAACTTGGAGGTCAACCTGCTCTGGAGTAAAAGCCGCAAAGAAAAGAAATAAATACTGTACGGATTAGGTTGTGTGTTTAATTGTTGGAGCTAATCAGAAGGGTTGCTGTTTAAGGTGCAACAGTAGCACACAGCAACGGAAAGTTTGATTTGAACATGTTCTCCACTTCCCGATTCGTTTCATCCAACATTGATAATTATAATCACAACACATCCCGGCTTGTCGCATGGTACCAACATAATGGTACTGAATTTAAAAGGCCACCCAGGTCTAGTGTACAACTTTTTGTGTTTGGTGTTAAGGTCGCCCAAAGGTCGACGTAGAGGCTTGTTGGCATCTACATACCGGTACTACTGTAAAACTAGAACCTCATATTCCTGGTTTATGCTCGCGCCCCAACCCAGATATTTCCAACTCGTTGATCCATTAGTACAGTACACTGCCCTGTCTAGCCACTACTTGAGCATTTTGTACCAGTATATACCAAACCCCTAGTTGGACCCAATATGCCAACTTCTGTTAGAAATTTTAATAATTATCACTTTATTCATAACGCCCAACACTGAACTTTCAACATTTCCAAACCCACCCTCTCTCTATACCTAACTGTACTTTCCACGGTAATTATATAGGTCTAACACTTAACTCAAGACCTCATAGACCAAGTAATAATAATTTGAATGACTTGACTTAGCGCAAAACATACTGGAAACAAATATTACCAGTGAACAGCTCAAGTCAAATTACCACCTATAACAGGCTCAATTGGCCCTTAAAAACTTCCTGAGATACGGTTAAAGCAAACACCTAAGTAAATTATACTGTATACAAGTCTTTCAAGCCTATTCGCATAACGGTCAACAAAACATTATCTAATCATGTCACATGGTCAAAATATCCACATGATATGCTCTAATAAACAAATCTAATAACATTTAGAACTTATACGCTTTACTTTTATTTGTGAAATTACAACTTCAATATATCTTTAAGAATGAAATTACCTACGATTTTTTTCCGAAAGCCACCAACTTCTCTTACACCCTGGCATGTTAAATTCATGTACGTTTCAAACAACTTTGAGCTAAGAATTAATGAATGCGGCCTATGGTACAAAATTTTACACCTTGCATATAATTAAACTAAAGTTATTACAAAACTTTAAATCTGCAAGGATCACATTCATTTTGAGATGTCTGGCAAAGGAATGTACGAGTACAGCAAATTACAGTATGCCTATTGACTCGAGCGTACATTCAGATATTGCAAGTCACCTTCAGGTGACTTCCCTTTCGAATGAATGAATTACCAGATCACACTTGGTTGCATGGCAATATGGTTGTCATATTTATGTATGACCAATATCCGTGTAGATGTGGTTTTAAATAAAACTAAATAAATAACCACGTAAGTTTACACTGAAACTCACGATAAAAGGTGTAGTCACAAGCCAGTGTCATATTTCAACTCCAAACTGAAATTGTCCAGTAACCCCCCCCCCTCCTCCAGGGAATGCTAAATAGGTCCATTAAACACTAAGATCCAAACTTGCAGTTAATATATTGGTTTCATTGTAAACAACTACACCAACTAGCTTTTTACAAACGGTAACTTCTAAATAGCTCAAAAACTGGGGCTACAACCAAACATATGGTACACACCAGCCCTCTCGCTCACCTTTGTACTACGTAAATACAGGGAAAGCCTTTCCTATAGCCAAATCTATCTACTTTTAACCACACAGCACCACTTAATATTATAGTACCTATGTCGGTGATGGTGTTCACGTAACAAGCCTAATGAAGCAAAGGTCACAAGGTGTGCCAAGTCTAGTTGACATACAAGTTTCAACTTCACGACAGTTTACATAGTTCAAAACAATCCCATTTACTGATACAATAATAATGTCACTAATAAGTAGTGTGAAATCGTGCGTATATACATATACGTTACATCAATTAAAAGTTCAACATAGAATAACACTACGTAAGAGCGAGACTTAAAATACAAGTGACTCCGCTACTAAAAATGCTTTGATATTTTAGATAGACGAATTATTTTTCCCAGTGTAATAAAAAAAATTAATGACTATATTTGTACTCTTCTTCCAAGAGAAATTTTCTATAATTATGCACCAAATGCATTCTACATTGGTTTTAGTACCAAGAAATTACTACGTCACAAACTTATCCTGTCGAGCCGAGTAATATCAGCATGCTGGTAGGTACACTTATGAACCGTGCCTAATGTTCACAAAGGAAAAGTGCAAACCACGATAATGTCGTCATCCACCTTTCAACTACCACCCAAGGCTAGTTTCAACAAACCACCTACACCAGGATTCTTGTTGATCGTTCAACTGCCACGTCGTTCCGTGTCTTCTCGACTAGTCAGCAAGTCCACTCCTGGACATGACTCCTCGATAACGTTAAACCTTTACCATACATGAGAAACTTTCACATGTCAGGGCTTGTCCTTGTATCAAACATCATGAGCAACAAAGTAGGTTAGCCAGGCCGTGGCGACCTTGGGTGGCTAGCCCGCTCACTTTCATTTTCACCGTCGATTTCCTTTCTTGGCATCTTTATGTATATATTGTGATAACCACGATATTTAACGAATAAAATATCTAGCCTCCTTCAACTTTCACTGACACATTAGATGTAGGGGATTTATGGCGGGAAACTAGAGTTGTTATTCAACAGGTTCTCCGAAAACTTACCTCTGAAAGTGAAGTCTGCGCATTCAAACTCGCGTCGAGGGTTTCTTCTTTTTTTCTTTTAAAAATTTATTTGATCCTCATTCAAAATCTCACCATGGGGAGCACACCTTCTCAATTCCTTATTGCACCTTATTCAATCATATAGGAAACAGCTTGAACTTCAAGTTGGGTTCTCACAGTCAGGTCATGGAAGTGACTAGGACGCGGCCGGGAGACGGACGGTGGATAAAGCGTGTATTCCGCCGCACAGTTGAAGCAACACTGAGTTGCCAGAGAAACCGTACGCAGGCGGCGGCAAGGCGGCCTGGCGGGTTGGGGGAGAGGGAGGAGGGCGGGGTCAGGACAACAGTTGCTCCACTTTTGATAATTTGTCTTTTTTCACTTACTGTTTTGTGATTCATTTAGTTAACTTTACTATTTAATCATGGCTGTGTTCAGTGGGCTTGTAAATTAATTGTATGGTACATATAAAAATCCTAAATACAGGAATAGGGTGTGACAGATGTTTAACATCATGCATCTGCCACCGTAAACAAGAGCACGCGCGCCAAATCTCTTTGTCCTGCACGCTCGCCTTCAAACCGCCAGTTTGTGAAAAGAACACATATAACATCCATCTAATGATTAATATTTTCTAATGACAACTGGTCTTTGGTAACTCCCATGACATGCGAACATCACTGAGATGTCAATATAGGATAAACACCCCAGGAGGAAGGTGTAATGCTTCACTTTCTTTGTCCCCACCCCACCCAGAAACGTGAAAACACTCACGGGCGCGGTGGTGTACCAAAAGCAGTTGCCAATATTTGCAACGCAAATTACGTTTTTTTTTATTTTTACTTTGAACATTTATTTATGGAAAGAAATTAGTTAATTAAAATTGTTCTTTAACCTTGCTACAGATATACCTAGCTCAAGATTAAATTCGACTATGCTCGTCAACAAATTTTACGACGCAGAGAATTTATGCTGAATATATAACAATAGAAACATTATAAATATATATCTAAATATAATTATATAATTTTCATAGAAAAGTGTTGTTAATTACATGATGCAGTCTCTATTGCAGTAAGAGAGTTCCCTTGGTATTATGTAGGATGTGGTGGAGGACTTGAACAGATGGAAACATGTGGTATCAGAGAGTCTACGGTAGGCAGTTGGCGCGCTCACGGGGGTCTCCTCTGATTCACAACAATGACGGTTTAGGCTGGTTGTCTCCACCACCGTCCTGCCGCTCCCACATGTTCCATCCACAACTTTAAAATGCTAGATCCATGAAAAATTCTAAATGATTCTCATATAATGGTCCTATGCAGGGAAAATAATTAGTAATCCTAGCCATATAACTTTTATAATAGACCCATTTTATTAATTTGATATTCCTGTAGTTTGGAAAATTATAGTAGGCTATTGTCATTTGTAAATTTCAGAGATAAATTTACTTAGCATTGGCCATTCATGTTCGTTTGCTAATTCAGAAGGACCGCTGGATTAAAATTATCCTCTCGGTCGTTAATACTGTGGACCATTTGTCGTCCCGCCCAAATCTTCCTTTGGGTTTGGGACATTGAATGTAGTACTTCTCACTTAAAGTTTGCATTATAATTCTAACAAATATCGACGCGAATTACACTAATACAGTTGCATACTAACAAATCAATGGATTCGCATAAATTTGCTTTGTAAATAAATGAATAGCAATGCATATTTCCATAGTAAGCTCAGTATATTGTTGCTCTTTTTGCAAGCAACAGAAGTTAGAGAATATGTACGACCCATCACAGTAAATATTTTCCCATGGCGTTTTTTAAGCTTGGTCATTCACACCGCGTTCATTGCACTTTCCGAGGTTAAAACGCAATTTTATGCCGATATAAAATTTACCTTATCTTTACCTTATTTACCTAATGGTCACCTACTACAGGTGTCCACGCCGAAGGAAGAAGTCCAGTGACCCGTATAGGATCCCCACTGAAGAGAAAGTGTGGGATTGATATTAGATATTCGTCAGTAACATTAATATAACCATATCAACACCACCTTATTGAACATTGAACTTGGTCATAATATCGTGAACACAGAGGGAGATATACCTTCACGCTAATGAAGATAAGCATATGATGGCTTTGTTAAGTGTATCCTTGGCCCAGTCTGCTTACAGTTTACCGTTGTTTGTATACAGGTAAGTAGGTTGTAGGCAGCTACCAAACAGGGAGGTACAACCGCCTGAGTAGATATTGGAAGCATAATGTATTGTCTAATGGTAGACCCTGCTGCCATATGGCATCACAAAAATTGTGACCAAGTCCCAGGTTGTTGATCTGACTTTCTGCTTCATTTACACACAATTGCAGGGTCTCAATTGTTTCTCTTACTATTGACAACACAACAAACATATATTGTTTCTCACTCTTGATCTTTTTTTATTTCTGTTTGTTTTCATTATTATTATTATTATTATTATTATTATTATTAAATATTATTATTTTATTATTATTTTATTATTATTATTATTATTATTATTATTATTATTATTATTATTATTATTATTATCATTATCATTATGATTTTATCATTTATTTATTTATTATTATTATTATTATTATTATTATTATTATTATAATAATTATTATTATTATTATTGTTATTATTATTATTATTATTATTATTATTTTTATTATTATTACATTTTCGCCCCCCCCCAAGTGGGTCAGTGACCTGTGCCCGGGTGGGCTAATCCCAGTAAAAGAAGAAAAAAAAATACCTGCACTATGTGTGCACTTTGTATGCCTTCACTGTACATTATTTGTATACCAATACTGTTCATATACATTATTTGTATACCTTCACTGTTCATATATATGTTGAATCAATGTGAACTTGTTTGATGATATTATTGAATAAATATCTACATTTTTTCACTATCCTCTAACTACCGTCCAATCAGTTGAACAACAATTGTATGCAAATTATTGGAAGCAATAATTTTAAGCTCAATTCGAAATCCCCTGGAAAAGCACAAGTTGATTAATGACTCCCAACATGGCTTCATGAGCAGGAGTTCATGTCCAACTAATCTATTAACATTCTTTTCAGCTGTTTTCGAATCAGTGGACGACGGGCTCGACTACGATGTGGTATATCTTGACTTCAGCAAAACCTTCGACAGAGTCCCCCACGAAAGACTAATAAGAAAAGTGGAGGCTCATGGCATTGGAGGAGATATTCTAAAATGGATTAGGGCGTGGTTACAGGACAGGAAACAGGGAGTGAGCATTAACGGCAGTAAATCCGATTGGAGCAGCGTCACTAGTGGAGTTCCCTAAGTACCCTCGGGGTACTCCACTACGGTCCTACTCAGTTTTATGTATATTTTTGTTTTGTTTTTACAGATAAGACTGATTTATTTTGCTGTTTATTTTAGGGGGAAAGAGTGATAAGTAGTCTTTTTATTTAGCGTTTAAATAATATTGCTAAAAATACCATAAACCTATCACGTCGTAGGTGGCCTTAAAGTCTTAAAGGTCAACTCCAATCCCTTATTTTTCCCTATTCTTGTTGAACCTCCCACCAGCCCAGCACAGCCTTTACTCAGTGTCTCCCCGCGTTTCATAGAGTACTAAACTTTATTATATATTGTCCTGTATTAGAACCATACCGTGTGTGATGACCAGAGGTGAGAAGGGAGTAAGTAATAGTGGGTAGAAGCCGTTGTTGCACTACCCACTGGCAGGGTATACTGAGCTGAGGTAACCCTGAAATCTGGTTATCAGTGGTCATGGACCGCCCACCCAGTTACTGGTAACACAGTAAGTACTAAATTTAAAAACATAAGAACCTAAGAATGGAGGAAACTACAGCGGGCCTGTTGGCCCATACTGGGCAGTCCCATTTACACCCAACCCCTATTGCTCATATAAGCATCCAACCTATGTTTGAAGCTATCCAGCGTACTCGAGTTAATGGTGATATTTAGTAACTTGTTCCATTCATCCACTACTCTGTTACCAAACCAGTGTTTACCTATTTCGCGCCTAAATCTAAATTTGTCTAATTTAAAACCATTGTTACGAGTTCGCTCCTGGTTGGATAGTTTGAGTACATTTGTAATATCACCTTTGTTTAGCCCTGACTTCCATTTATACACCTCTATCATATCGCCCCTCACTCTACGTCTCTCGAGGGAGTGTAAATTAAGATGCTTTAACCTGTCTCTGTACTCAAGGTTTCTAATGCCCGAGATTAGCCTTGTCATTCTCCTCTGAATTCTTTCCAAGGATTCTATATCCATTCTGTAATAAGGTGACCAGAACTGAACTGCGTAATCCAAGTGTGGTCTCACAAGCGCAAGATATAGTTGTAGGATGACCTCTCTAGTCCTGTAACTAACACTCCTTTGTATGAACCCAAGTACTTTATTAGCCTTGTTTCGAGCAAATACACATTGTTTACTTGGCTTAAGGTTCCTGAAGGTTCCAAGTGTTCCCTGAAGAAGGCAGTGAGCCCACGGAGTCAGACTGAGACTGCCTTGCCATATGGCAGCCTCGGGGCAATGATGCCACATAACACGTGCAGTGTTGCCACGTAATTATATACATAGATGCTACTCGGCACAGTAGCTTATATACAAGGTTGCTACTCGGCACAGTAGCATAGATACATAACCTACAGTTCCTACTTATCATTACTCCTAAATCTCTCTCGCAGTCGGATTTCTCAATGGCATCGTTGTTCATCTGGTATCTGGTTTCCCTGTTTACATCTCTGGCACTACACCTGTTTTTAATGACATGTTAAACAACTTTGCTAAGGGCATACTAAGCTCTTCCTTACTTTCCTTTAATACTCTGGCAGATTCTCCCACAGCTCTGGACAAAACAGAACGGAGCTAAACATTTCATTTACCTAAAAAATATATGCAAATAATGTTTCCTCTGAAATTTCAAAGTGTAATCTGTATTCGCTGGCATTACTTTGTTAACAATTTAACTCTTAACGGCATAAATGAGCTGTGATCAATTAAAGGCTTTAACCCAAGAGGCTGCTGCTCGGCGATGTTGATTACTGCATTCTGCGCTGGTGAAGATGTTGAAATTATAATGCTTAACCAAACTACAACAACAGAGGTTTTAAAGTGTGTACTCCATGTTAGTTTAAACACTACTAAAAATAAGAAAATAAGAGGTAAGTTTAAAGTATGTCTAAGGCCAAAATTTACAGTGAGATGACCATTCACTTTCTAAACGCGAGCCGT